ATTTTAATTACAAGTTAAAAAGTACAAAAACATCTCTTATATGTATAAAAAATATTTATACGAGTATTAAAGATTTATATATTAAGGATATCTACTAAGGAACTAAATATTGTTCAAAAATTCTCTTATCACATTAAAATATTGTTAGAGTTAAAAAAAATCAATGAATAACTTTTTAAAATATTTTTATACTTTGTTGACATTTTGTATAATGGTTTTAGAATTTTATTTTAAAATCAATTTTGGCAAAAATAACAAATGTCTTTAAACAATCTTTCAATATTAGAATTTTCATGCTGGTTTCTTATACTTTTTGCCACATAATATTGGCTTGACATAATAATGAATATTTATTTGACATGAAAATAAACTTTATTATTATTATTTGTACGTGGTTAATTACCTTTTAACAGTTATCCTCCTCTTATAAGATAACTTATAAAATAATAATAACAAGGATTAAAATGATTGTGTAAAATGTATATATGTTCATATAATGCAGGAGTACGTCGCAAATACGTATATGTACATGAATACCGAGCAAATATTAAAAAGTTGTTTTAATTTTTGCGTTGTTTTTATTTTATTTGTTTTCGTTCAGTTGTCCTTTAACATCAATTATATGGTAACTAGCTATACGGAATGTTTGTGTCTAAGTAGTTTTTATTAAATAAATTTTACTCAAGAGTTTTTTTTTTCTGTGTATACATAATGTGTTCTTGTACTATATACACATGTACGTATATATAATGATTATTGTCTGCAAAAATTTTAAGAAGTAAGAGTTTTGATTACATAAAACAAACAAAAATAAGTATACTAAGTGTAGAACAAAAAAAAAAAAAAACATGAGTCCTTTTCATCAAATGGATTATTTCCGGTATTATAATCTGAAGAGGTCAAAATAAACTTAACCTTAAAATAGACAAAAAAAAAGCAAATTCATCCTTAAAGAATATTTTTTTTGTTTTTGTGCAAAATAACTGTGTCTGTCTGAAATTCAACTTTAATGTTATTTTTCTATTTTGGTCTTTTTTTTTTTTTAATGCGTATATAGCATAACAGACTTTGTACACATTGCCGCAGAAATACCATTGTAGATTTTCTAGGCAACGAAAACGATTTGTAGGAAAAAAAAAAATTTAGATGACTCAAATAAGAAAGGAAAATTTTTCTAACTACAACGTTTATGTGTCTGTTGCTTCTAGTTTGTGTTGTGCATGAAGTTCTTTGTTTCACAAAAAAAAAATGTATATAATTTGGCGCAAAAGTATATTTAAAATATTTTTCTCAGTAATTTTATTTTTTTATCCTCTTAAAACTTTTATTTTTTGTCCTTTAACAAATAATTATTATTTTAGTTGAATACCTATATATATATATAGTGACTATGTGTGTATGTATTTAGAGTAATGAAGTTTACAGACAATGTTTGTTCATTATTTTATTGTACATATAATCTTCATTTCTGGTTGAAATATTAAAGAAAAAAAAATTTGTTATTAAGTCTATATTCGGATTTTATTTTTTTCTTTGTGTTAAATTTACACTTTCATGTTATTTCATTAAGATTTTGTTCTAAAAATCTGCAGTACCAATTTGTCTGTCCTGCAAACTGGCTAAATAATATGTTTAAAAGGAGACTTTTAATATTTAAGTATTTCATTTCTATAACTATGGAAGAATGTTTCGGACCATTAATATTACCAAAAAAAAAAATTATTAACAATAAATAAACATAGAAGGTTGTCATTTTTTATGGTACAGCAATCCCTCCTATAACGTAATTTTTGTTACCGAAAAATTTTTACGTTAAGTGAAATTACATTATAGGAGGTCCAACTAAACTAATATGACTAATATGTATGTATGTACTTGATATTTGCCTAAACTAGTAAGTTGTCTGATGGTAAAGAAAGAAATTTAAATGAAAAAAAAAAATAGATTATTGCATATTAAATTATTTTAAAATTACGTAAAACGAGGTAAAAATTACATTAAGTGAAAATAGGTAGGAAAAATAAAATTTACATATATCGAAATTATATAGTAAGAGGTTACGTTATAGGAGGGATTGCTGTATCTCATTCATCGGGTGAGAAAAAAATGAACGAATTATGTTTTTGCAATATAATTTTAAAGAGAAAATATTTTTTCCGTTTGACCTCTCTCTTTTTGATTTCTTATTGCGTATTTTCATTTTTCAAAGAGAGTATTGATTTGTATATTCTAATCTCATTCTCTTTATTTTTCTAAAATGAGTAATGACAAAGTTTATATATAATTATAATTAAAAAAAGAAAATTCTCATGAATTTCAAAAATAAGAGATGCAATTATGCGAATTGATGAGAATTCTGATTTGAAATTTCCCTAAAAGGATGAATGAAAAGGTAAAATTTTGTGTTTTAATTTGATTGAAAATCAATGACGAAGAATATTTTTATAAAAACGAAGGATAATAATTTTGATTAATTCTGCAATAGGAAATTAGACTAAATTTAAAACCAGCAAGTTCTTGAAACTTTCTATACATTATTTGAATTTTTGAAATTTTGAATTTTATTATTTTGGTTAGTATTTCAAAATTTGTAATGAAATTTCTTAAATTTAAATTTTAAATTTTAAAATTCCACTCGCGAGATATGAAAAGTATATTTATAGCCTAATTTTTCTAAAATCATTGAATTTAAATAATTTTCACAGATTTTACAGAAGAAATGAAGCAATTTTGTAGAATCAGAAATTCGAAAATTTTGCTGGTAAATAAAAAATTTAAGGCTTTTTTTTCCATGAGACCTAACTTTAGAAATGAAGTCCATAATTCGAAATACAAAGTTTTGCCGAAAAATATTTATAGATATGATTTTTATTCAGAATAATATTAGGTATATAGGAGTAAAGGGTAATTAAAGTAAAATTAAAACCTTCATATAGTTTTTTATTTTACTCCAAAATCTAAACGTTTAGATGCAAATAATTTTTATATATTCTAATAAATTCTAGTATTTTAATAGTTTAAAACTTTATGCTAGTTTTTGTTATGTAATTATGAATATAAGTATATGAAGGCACATAATTTCATATACATATAAAAATTGAAATTACTTATTTCAAAGGAATTAAAGGAATTTAATTTTTTATTCTATATTGTTTTTTCTCATTTTGGTAAACCGCACTAAAAAATAATTATATAGCGAGAAAAAAAGAAAAAAAAATTCTAAGTTTTTAATCGTTTTCAATGGATAACATTAAAAAAAAAAAAAAATAGAAAAAAGTCATTTTAAAAAAAAGTAATTTATTTTTAATGCAGGATTAAATAATTTTGCAATGCAAACGAATTAAATATAAAAGAAATTGAAAACAAAAACAATATTTTTAATTGGATTTAATTTTTAGTTGGTATTTTATAGTTATGTTTTCACACTATCTTTATAATCTTCTAATTTCAAAAGGGATAAGTATAAAGAATATTGGGTTTAGAAAGTTTGTTTGCAAAAATTTAAGGAATATCCGGTGCGCATATTCAAACCTAATGTTCAATATTAAAAATGTGAAATTTTATTCTAAATTACTTTATTCTAAATTACATTTTTATATAAAAGAGTAGTTGTTAATCCTAAAGACTTTTTTGGAAATGACTTAAAATTTTCGAAATTAGTTACGCCTTGAGTTTGGAATTGTAATAATACTGTAATGATACAGATTTCAGCCTAAATATTCAGTCAATTTAGCCAATTGCTGAGTTATCTATTGATACGGTATATTATTACAATTCCGATGTAACGGATGCTATATGGTTACCTAGAGTCATAAATGAGAAATCAATAAACCTGACTTAGATAAGTAAATTGAAGTTTAATAAATATATTCTGCATATTTCTTAGAATTTATTGGATTAAATATTTTTATCAAATTTTAGATTATCCTGACAAACGTTGTCATGTTTTTGTTAACACAATGAATGTGCAAATTTCTTATTTTGAGAAAAATGAATCCTCATTGTTTGCAGGCAGCACGTTTTTTTTTCAAAATTTTAAAAATTGTTAATTTGGAACGTGATTTGGAAAGACTTCTATGGTTTTGGTATAATAAGAAAAAGCAAATAATTTGGCATCCTTAACTCAAAACCTACAAAAAAGCACATTCATTGTTTTGGGGCGTACGAAATGATTATATGCAAATCAAAAAGTTTTTAAGTTACAAATGAGTTGAAAAATTCAGAATACGCTTAAAAGAGCGAACAAGTATGTTTACAAATAGTTTTTTAATAATTAAAGTTTTTTTGGAATGTAAAAGTCACAACGTTTATTAAAAAATGAATTTTTTGTTAATTTTTTTTTTTTTACAAATTTGAGTTTAAATAATTTGAAAGGATTTCGTTTGTGTTTTTTTATCTTTTCGTAATGAACCTGCAATTTGTATAGTATAATAAAATGAAAAGTCAAAATAATTTTCCACTTATTTTAAATTGCTACCATATACGAGTACATAATTATAGTAATTCACATCATTGCTTCATCTACACATGTATAGGGTATTTATGTATACATTTGTGAATCTGTATGTGCACATATTATTTTATTTTATGTATAGGCTTCTCCATCCTTAATTATGGTACTTAAAATAATTGTCGCATGTTCTTTCAATTAAAAAAAAAAAAATTTTTTTTTCCTTTAAATTTCTTGCTCATTTAACAATTGAAATTAAAATTTGTTTTTGTTTTTTTTTAAAGTTTTAGTTTTGGAAATTATATTTAAAGATTTTCTTGAGAAGGTTAAATTGTACATTGAAAACAATTAGAATTTTGTAAACTATAATAGGAAAATTACTTGTAGACTATTACTTAAACTCTATATATAATTTAAATAAAAGGAATACATTTTATATAACAAGGACTATATGCAGTAACCAGTTGGGTTTAACAATTTTAAAAATATTCAAAAATTTCCAATTTGGTAAATAAGTTTTACTATACGATAATTTTATATAAATTCTTACCTGAATTATAATTATTTCTATTTATTGTTGTTGTATCCTTACGAGATCTTCGATTTGTTCTTGGTTGTGTTCTAGAATCTTTTGGATCTGAATATCCTTCAATAAGTTTAACGTTTGTATATTGAGGTTGAGATAATTGTATTATATGAGATTTTTGTTGTTGCTGTTGAATATATTGTTGTTGTTGCTGTTGTTGTTGTTGATGATGATGTTGTTGTTGTTGCTGCTGCTGTATATGTTGCTGTTGATGATATTGTTGATGTTGTATTAAAGTAATTGGAGGATGTTTAAATGCTGGCACTGGCGGATCTAAAAATGATACCTGTAACAATAAAAATTAAGAAAAAAGGGATAATTAAAATTATAGTAAGAAATTTTTTTTTTGTAAATATTTTGTATACATATATATTTAACACTTTCACAGTTATGTTATTTGACAATTATATGTTATTTAAAACAAAAGAAGAAAAAGAAAAGGTGGAAATTTTTTTATTTTTGAGAAATAATTAAACAAAAAACAGAAATGTAATTAAAAAATGAATAAAATTAAAACTATTATAATAACCTTCAATTCAATTCCGTACACTTTTTTGTAAATGGAAGTGTAAATGAAATGAAAATGTCCTTGTATACGTTTTCCAATTAAAGATAATTTTTAATTTTGTAAAAAAAAACTTATTAAAAGTAGCTATACAGCTTATTTTTTTATGATTTTTTTTGAAATTTTAAATTTAGGGCCCTATTACACCAATTATTTTTTTTTTACGGTAGGTTTGTCACCTACCTATTAAACTCAATGACGTAAGAATCTGGTGTTCATGGTTATCTACAATATCGTGCACTAGCCCTATGCTCCTCCTAGGAGCAAAGTAGGAATAAAAAAATTAGTAGTGCCAAGAGTCAATATAGTATTGAGCTGTAATAATTAAAATAGTACTTACTTTTGTAAGAAGTTGAAAAATAAGAGCATAATCAAAAGTGGTTGGTGTAATAGAGCCCAGGACTAATATTTCATTTTAAATTCTACTCGTAATAAAAGTATGATACAAGGAATTTGTAATTCGTCATGATAATCTATATAATTATCTTATAGAGTTTTTGAGACAACAATACAAGGAGAAAATTTCTGAATAACAACTAGGAATAAATTTTCATATATATTTTTGTAAATAATTATATATGCATATATGCACAAATAAATTCTAACAAATTGAGAATTTTAAAAGAAAATTTAAAAAGCCTTAAAGCTCTCAACAATAAAATTAATAACAATTTATTAGTATTTATAAAATTGCTCCTAATTTATATAATTTAATGTTTGACTTTTACTTAAAAAATAAAAATATCTTCCTTAAAGAATTAATATTATATATATATATATATATATATATATATATATATATATATATATATATATATATATATATGTGTACATGTATATGTAAAGGTTTCTCTTAATATTAAAACTTCATTCTTTTTATATTTAATGGGAAAACATAAGCACCAAATTAAATTTAAACTTTTTCCAATTGACCATTGGAACCAAAATACAGGGTGAAAAATAAAACAAATAAATTGAAAATAAAGAAATAAAGGAAACAAAAGACAAAAAAAAATTTTTTTCATGAGGAAATAAATCAAATAAATTGATTCAATTTATTTCTGTTGGTGCGGTTCCGCACTCTTTATTTTTTGAATTTTTGTGTAAAATATTTCATTCTAAAAGCTATGTAGGTTCTTGTATTGGCTTTTCAACACAAAACAAAAGATATTTATATAAACATGTTTGTATGTAGGTATATACACATGAACGGCACAAAAAAGAAAAATAATTGAAATTAAGATGAAATTTTTCACGTTATTTGGGTACCTTTACATATATTGTTTAATATTAAATACAAAAACAAGTAAACACATATATAATCATATTGCTCCAAAAGTAACTCAAAAACACCATTTAATAATTGAATATTTGGGTATTTTTAGAGTTATTTGCGGGTAAATATTAAGTGAATTTTTATTATCAGTTTATGGCAACAACACCGAACAGATATGAGAACAAGAGCAGAACGAATTCTTTGAAGATTACCACATTTGCGACAATTACGACAATTGTGATAATTATGATACTTGCGATACTTCTAATAGATACAGCATTTACGACAATTGCGGCACTTACAACAATATTGGTACATTTACGATAAATATGATTATCACGACTAAAGTAAAAATCTATAAATCATGAAATTTATTTTAAAAAATAATCGTAATTTTGTGAAGCCGTTTTTTCTTAATTAATTTTCCTTATTAAATTTTTTGCTAATTAAATTTTTGGGGGTCAGCATAATTTTTTTAAGTTCAAAAACTAATTTTTTTTAATTTATTAAAAATTAATCAAAGAGGCTTAAACTTAAAAGTGTATTTCAATGTATTTGAACTCTTGAATTACTACAATGTATAAAATTTTCCCTCAATTATCATATGTATGTAAAGTTAAATTTATACTTTTTAAGAATTTTCTGAATTTAATTAAAAGAAAACATTTTTTTTTTATATTTGTTCATTCAATTCCGCAAAACATTCACGTGACACGGAAATAAGAATTTTACCTTCAGGATATACAAATAATGAAAAATTGTTTAAAATTTACATTAACATGAAAGCGTGTAAAAAATTTTTTTACATTTACATTTTTATAATTTCAAAATTATTCACATTTTAATAAAGATGCAGGTTTAAATGTTAAAATTTCAACCTGAAGAAAATTTTCTTATATTTTATCTGATATTAAGTTTTTTTTTTTTCAATTTTTAAGAAGATCTTAAATTCAAAAACGTATACATTATACTTATAACATCATCTTAATCATATTTTAACTTTGTTATACATATATAATAATGTTATACGTATACGTAGTTAATATTGAAATGAAAATGACAGTGAAACGTTATTAAAGAGAATTATGGTAGTTAAAAGAAAAAAAAGTTATCGACATTTGGACCATTAAATTTATTTATTTCATATTTTACACGATATTATAACTCTCTCTTTCTCTCTCTCTCTCTTTCTACTCTCTCTTTATATATATATAAATACATATTAAATATAAATTTAGTTGATAGAAGAATTTGATAAGTAAATGAATATTATGGCTGCAGAAATAAATGAAAGCCTCAAGGCTATACACAGTATATTAAGTATATAATATAGAAGATACTGTGGTTATACTTTATAGCATATATAGCATAGAATAATAATACTATATAATATTTACGTCAGCAATATAATGAAAAGATTGAGAGAAAGAAAAAAAGTGAGGAGAAGAGTTTAATATTATAGAGAAAAGAAAAAGTGTTTTTTCTATTTACACTTCGTTTAATTCTGTCGTCTCGTATTATAATATCACCAGGATACCGAATAATATTAAAAATAATGATAAAAATAAAATATGAAATAAAACGTTTAATATTGTAGCCTATAGAGGTATGTGTGTTTTTTTTTTTATTTAAAAACATTTATTTTTTACTTTAACTTAACTATAAAGCTCTTAAATATTTTTTTGTGTAATATTTTGAAGAGTTGTGATGTTTGTCACAACGATACGTTCACTTTTCGTTTTATACTATTATATGTTAAGTTTTTGGAGAGGTATAGCAAATAATAGCCAGATGTTTATGAATACATTTATTATTTAATAAAGAATACCATAGGATTCGTAAAAAAAATTCAACAAAGCTTTCAAATGTATTATTAAATTGTTTTGATAATATTGAGTTGACTGGCCCCCGACCATGGGGCTCACATGTTTGAAAAGAGTTAAAATTTAAAATAGTATGTTTTAACCGTGATATTTGTTCTTAATTATTGTCGTATTATTAATTAAATAGTTCGACACAGATAATGCGACAAATAGTTTTTGGGAGTATAAAAATAACTGCCACCCGACTTTGGGATTCATAATTTTAAATGAATTATGAATTTTGAAATAATAAAATTTTGTTGAATTGCTTCATTATTGTTACTTTATTTTTACTATTTAAATAATTTCGAGACAAACAATGATCAGAACAAAACGTCTAATATAGTAAATAATAGTAAATAATTTTTTTTTGTATTTTTAAAATATTTTTTTCCTTTAAAGTAAATAAATATGTTGTTTTTTTTTTTGTTTTTCAAATAATTAATTCAGTTGCAAGCGACAAAGCAAAATAAAAATAGCGAAAATTGTTGAAACAATTATTTGATCAGAATGACTTCAAGGCTTTCTATTAGAAATTTAGAACATAGCATATTACAATGAAACCGGCTTTGGTGCGGTTAAAAAACTCATACAATATTTGAATTAAAATTATTCTTTTTATAATGTTTTATAGCTCAAAAGTGTATTCTATTTCATTTTGGATTTTGAAGTTTTGAAATAAATAAACTTTTGTATTCATTTTATCCTATTTAGTTGGGTGAACAAATAAAGAAAAAAAAATGTTATTTCCTGATTTTCTATGTTTATAAATTTTTTTTTCTATGCTATGAAAAAAATATCATCACATTGTTTATACGAGTATGTTTATTTCCTCTTTTTCTAACACATTTATTTTTTTTCTCTCTCTCTATTTTAAAATAACCATCTTTTCTTTCAAAAGATAATTTCCCACTAATAAACTCTCAAAACAGGAAATGGAAAAAAATATAAAAATGTTAGTAAAAAAATAAAAACTTTTTTTTATTATTATTATTATTTTTTTTTTGTTATTTTGTAAAAATAAAAACGTTTTATGAAATGAATTTTACCTTATTTAAGCTTTAAATTATGCCTGAATCTACTTAAGAATTATATTTATATATTTTCTATCTAAGCATATAGTAGAAATATATAAAGGATTCTTTTGCAATATTAGTACTTTTATATTATATAATATCTACATGCAAAGTGTTTCGCATAAGGTGGTAAATAATTTAAAGCTTGATTCTTTGATCAATTTCCAGCAAACAATTGGATGGTTGGGGGGAGGGCCGAATTTTTTTCTATATAAATAAATGCTTATATTTTCGCAACCATGCGACATAAATTAACTATCGGGAGCTTGTTTTACAGGTGATTGATTGTTTTTTATTTTTGGTTTTACAATTAATTTGATTTGAGCCATAGTTTTAGAGCTATACAGCTTGTCAAAGTCAGAATTTTTGTTTTTGTTGAAATTTTTTTTACAAAATTCGAAATTTACCAGATTTCTGTTATTATTGTTTTTTTCTTGTTTTTTTTATTCGCTACGATGAGATCTAAAAGTTAACCCACATAACATTTTGCTCTATCTCTCATAGTTT